GACCAGCAGAAAGGCAGCGCCTGGGGCTTTGCAAGACCTGGTGGTGGGGGCATGCGCCCGGTGCTTGGGGAGAAAGCTGCACAGAAACCACAGACCTTTCTGGGAGGGTTGAAGTCCAGGCACCCGGGAGGGTGGGTGGTGGTGGACACGCTTGAGGCTGTGGATGATGGGGCCGTGGTGGTGGGGAGCGGGCTGAGCGTTGTAGAGGGTGTGGACGGGCACGACCAATTGAAGAACTTGAGTTCACAAGACTGCAAACAGTGCGCGTAATGGCACATGCCTCCTTCGGTGACGTTGTACGTCACTTCGCCTGCAAGGGAGACAACAGTCCTACACCATCCACACAGGGCGGCCACGAGAGGACACAGGTGGGTCGCCCGGTGGCCGCGAGAGGGCTGCCCATGCCACACTTTCTCAACAGCCAAGCTGCAGTACGAGGGGCCGGCTTCGCCAGGACGCTACCCTGACACAAGCACGACAGACACACCCACAACCTGGGAGTTCAGGGCGACAAGCCTGGACACATACCTGGGCTGTAGAATTCTCCATTCAACTCGCAGCATTTCTCTATGGTGGCGGCACTAGGGCCGGTTATGGAGGTGCGGAGGGGAGAGGTGATCAGGGTCTCCGTCGGGGTGGTTGTGCTGAGAGTTGAGGTCTCCGTGGTGGGGGAGGTCAAAGTTGGAAGCTCTGTTGAGGTGGTGAGTGTTGGGGTTGGGGTCACTGTGGAGGTGGTGGTGGGTGTCGGGGTAGGAGTCCCTGTGGAGGTGGTGCTGATGGTGGGTGTTGGGGTTGTGGACTCTGTGGTGGTGGTGGTGCTGGGGGTTGTGGTCTCCGTGGTGGTGGTGGTGCTGGGGGTTGTGGCCTCCGTTGTGCTGGAGGCTGGAGCTGGAGTCTCTGTTGCAGTGGTGGTGGGTGCCGTGGTACTGCTCTGTGAGATGGTGGTGGGATATGTTGTGGGGCAGCCAGGGCGAGGAACACAGCAGTAGACATTGATCTCATAGTTGAGGCAGTAAGGCA